CGAGCCCACTGTGTATAGGAATTGGATCGATCCCGTTTTTAACCGCTTTGACAATCTTTTTCACAATCTGTTTGGTCTTGGCGAAACGGGCCGAGTGGCCCAGTATCTCGATCAGCCCACCTTGCTCCTTCTGATGGACATCCGGACCCATAGGGGACAGGCAGGGGGTCGATGAGCTACGGTGGATCAGGTTTCGGGTCAAGAGGAGAGGGGAACCTTTTCGAACGGCACTTAGGTCATTTTTGAGGATCATATCGCCGAAAGTTAAGGAACTCTCCTCGATCGGGAAATTGAGTGCCAGCTGTAATCTTCTCTTCACGGTGTGAGCATTGTCACTCCTGTCGAGCTCCATGCCCAAGACACAACCAGTCTCGGTTTGCACGAAAACTCGCCTTCTTCCAGTTTGTTTGATGTCTGCTCGATTTGGCCCACGGCACTCCATGCCGCTAAGTGGGCTCTTGAAAACTGCCACAGCCATCTCAGTCTGAACGGGGCTGTTGCGGTTTGGAGACATGAAAGAGAGAGAGAGAGAGCAAGACAAGGTAGTAGAAGGAGAGAGATCCTTTCTCCTTAAACCAAATTCAGAAACTAATCGTGATTGAATCAGAAATATTCAATCTGATCAAATAGCAATCATCATATGGCGAAACCTGAACTCATAGTCTGTCGAGAGAGAGAATGGAGATTTACGAGATCACAACATCAACAGAGACATTTTCGATCAAGCTTTAAGCTGAATTCTGCTGCATGAGAAAGGACCAATTCAAAATAAGAAAGTTTATAAGAGCAGTTCTTCATTTTCCGAGACATGGAAAGAGTAAATTTGTTCAGAGATGGAGTAAGATTTCAAGATTACAAACATGGCATGTCCTCCCACTACCAACAAATTAACAAAAAAAAAGTACAAAGATAAATAGAGTCATATATGTAAGAAACGGGGAAAATCCCATATGAAGCCCAAGTGGGGTTCCATCCAAAACCAATTGGTGGAAGGAGGAGTAGCCCATTAGACGTATAAGGTGGGTCTATTTTCCATGTATGAACGATGTGGGACACCTCATAAGTGATATTCTAACAATATACATTAATCACCATGAACAAAGACATTCCTTTTATACACTATACAAGGGACTTTAAAGTAATGAACCCGAGTAAAATTGTGAACAAGCAAGCAGCAAGAATTTACTATTTCAGCTAAAAAAATAACAAAATCATCGAGAAAAACATAAAATCAGCTAAAAAAGCACACAATACATTCCACATCTCTAACACAACAAAATCATAAACACGGTTATCATCCACTGTTCTCATTAATGAATGCTAAAAACATCAGGTCAAAACTGTAGCTGCTAAAACCACACAAACAATCATCGATTGCCCTCATAAAATTAAAAAAAAAAAAAAGCCAACCGTTTTGCGAAAAAAGATGAGAAAAAGGAAACAAAGAACCGCAAAACCCATCGATTAACTCACCAAATGTTCAGATCTGAAGAATCCCTCTATTCTTCTCCCTGCCTCAGTACAACCCTTCAAAGCCCCTGAGGCTAACACTGTAGAAAAGCTAGGATTTTTCCGGCGGTCGGGGACAACAGGCGACAAGAAAGGTCCTTTAACGGCGAGATTAAG